AAGTATAAATTGTATGCTTTTAGGAAATTAGTGCATATGCTTGGACTGAAATACACTACTTTAACTGAGGTGATTAAATGATATATTATTCAGGGCATAAGACTGTAAAAGGGAATGGAGTTGCAATGATACTAAAAAAGACATAATTAAGTGTGTGGCTGGCTGTAACTCTGTCAATCATTTCTATTAGAATTAATGGATATTTAGGGAGCATCGATGTTAGATATTCACTTACTGTGGATGCAGTGGTAGAATGCTGAGGAATGGTATGGTAAGTTAAATTGAATGAGATGCTAAATGCAACATCTAGTATGGATGTAGTACAACTAATGGGTGATTGGAATGCAAAAGTTCGAAAAATGGAGGAACTTGGAATTATTGTGATTGAGTAAACACAATAATGCAGGGGGTAGGTTAATAAACTTTGGTAAAGAAACTTTTTTGTTCATTGCTAATACCTACTTCAGGTAACATAATCATAGACTCAGTACTTGGTTATCACTGGATGGACAACATCTGAATCAAATAGACTACACATTAAGAAGCAGAATATGGAAAAGTGCACCCAGCTGGTCCCTTCCAGCTGCAGATTGTGGAGTAGACCATAGATTATTGGTGTTAAGTATATGCATTAAACTTAGAAAATTGAAGGCAGCAAGTATGTTGGTATGATTTGACCTACAGGACATTGTCAGAATGTAAGATCAATATAAGGAACAAATTAAATGTATTTAATATATGTAGAAGAGAACCTGAAGAGCTGTGGAAAGAGCAAGAAGACATTAAGAAAACCAAAGCCAAAAACATTTCCCGAATTTGAAAGAGAAAAAGCTCCAAGTGGCTTTCAGAAGAACCTGTCGATAGCCAAAGAAAGATGAAAACCTTGGGCAACAAAGATGTATGGAGACAAAATACTGTTTTCCAACATCCATCAAGAAAGGACAAGGAAAGATCTCAATCAAGAATGTCAACTAATAGAGAACTATAACAAGAAAATGAGTTATTTTTAAGAATATCAGAGAAAAACAGGACAATTACTGCTGAGGCAGGAATACTTAAGAGTAGTCATGGAAAAGATTTAACAGAGTCATGTAAGGTTAAAGGAAGATGGAGAGACTCTACTGAAACCCTTTATAAACATGATTATAGAATTTTAAAAATTTGCAGAGATAATTTATCCATGAATCAACTCCACAAAAAGAGAGGCATAATTGGCAATTGATCAGCTGTCCAATAGGAAAGAACAGGGTACAGATGAAATAAATATGTAAAGCTGCAGGAAAAGAGACAGCTGAAGTGCTACAGCTTTATGTTAACAAATATGGAAGAACAAGATGGTGTGGCCTAGAGATTGGAAAATATCAGTGTAGATGCATCAAGAAGGGGAATGCAAGAGATTGTGTAAATTAGCCACCCATTGCACTAATTCTTCATCTAATTTTATAAGAAGTTCCATTGTGTTTCATGGATCTCTCTTCCAAGTAAGTATTTATTTGTGATTCTAAGCATACTTACTTAGTAAGCAGCAGTGGATTTACTGGGATTTATTTCACAGTAAATGTGTTTTGGTTGTTCTTATAGTAAAGTAGGGCAATTTTCCTGTTTCACAGATTCATGCTCTTACACAGGAATGTTTATGACAAATTAAGTGTGTTAACATAATGAGGAAAATCCAAAAGGCTTCCAGTTCTGTATTTTTAAAAGATAGTAGGCAAATTTTACAAGAAGCAAATTGAGGCTGGTGTACTGTTTTGCTGCACTAACTTTAATAATTGTACGTGGAAGTGCCATAGCCCAAATTTCTTAGAGATGTGTACATTTTAGTATTAAAAACCCTTTTGTATTATTTCTATGCCTGCATTCACATTACATGTTAAAATCTAGAAAAGCCTTTATGGATTGAATTAGGTTTTCTATTTTTTTAATTTAGAAAAGCTTCACTGGCCAGAGCAAGAGCTCTCCAAGAAGTCCATCCTGAAGCCTGAAGAACAGAAATTCCTTTG